CTAGTATTGTAACTGCATGCACCTGTTGATTGAACTGGCTGCTGCGACATACTTTAGCAAAATGCCCAATCTTTTTGCAATGATTGCAATGAGCTACTTTTGCCGGACATCCTGTGTAGCTTGCAAGGTGTTGTGGGGATCCACAGTGAAAGGATGCTTTTACTGTATTTTGAATTTGCTCATTCGGTGCCTCTTGTATCCATGCTCATTATTTTGGCTTCAGCTGTAGCTGACTCAATCTGAGTAGCAATGGGTATTGCTTTTTCTAGTGTAAGTTGTGGTTCTAGAAGTAAGCATTCTCTTACACGAAGCATGGTTGTTTTCTCAATGAGCTGGTCTCTAATCATCTCATCTGCCATATTCCCAAAGTCACAAGTTACAATCCGACTCCTCAGGTAAGCAATATACTGCATTATAGTCTCCCCCATTTTCTGCTCACGCTGGAGAAATCTGTAGCGATTAACTACTACATTCACTTTTGGCACAAAAAAGTTCTTTAATGCAGTGAGTGCAGTCTCATATTTATCATCTGCAAGGCGAAAAGTGTAAATATACGCTGCCCTTCTGCTCCAAGGCAGTGGATTAGCAGAGCACGCTTTCTTACTTCAGAAATCTCTGTAGCACTGATTGCAAGCAGATAAGTCTCAAACATGTAGATCCAGGCAATAAAAGCAATTGGAGGCTCAACTGGGCTTTGGAGAAAGAAAACAGGTGGGTTCAGAGGCAGAAGATCCATCCTCATCACCAAGATGTTGTAGCAACCATGCAAGGTACTAACAAACTTCAACAGGACTTTATTTTTTAAAGTGGAAACCTCTTTACCAAGCTGGTGCTGCACCCTCGGTAGCTCTCACCCCACCTCCTCAACTTCCCCCCCCCCCATCCTTCCTGTTTCCTGTCCTTTCAGACTCCCAACAGCCAGTGCTCCCAGTTCTAATAATTACAAGCAGCACATACACACCACACCCTGCTATAACTTCAGCTCTATACACGCCCTTCCATTTTTTTATAAGCCTCCTAAAAATCAAACAAACAGCATTGGAATGGGGTTTACCCCCGACATGCTGTGAAAAGGTTGAGATGAGCCTGAGAAGCCCATGAACCAGCCTGGGTATGCCTGGAGGGTGGGCCAGGCCTAATTAAAGATAAAGCCCAGCATGGGGGAGGGTGGAAGGGGAAGCAGGTTTTTTGTTTGCTTGTTTTCTCATAAAGAGCTGGGTGAGTCCAACTGGAGTGGGGAGACCCACTGGAAAGTTCCCTCTCTCTGGCAAGCAACCTGAAAGAAGGTTGAAAATGAGAGAGTGCAAACAGGCTTCTGCAGGAGTGAGCAGGAGGCCTGACTAGAGACAGGGACCATGAGGAGCTGTAGCCAGCCTGAACCCCTGAGTGAGGGGAGGAGTGGTGGGGTTGATGAAAGCATGGAAACCTATGGCTAGCCAGGACAGTCTAGAAAGAGCAGCAGAGGCATGCCTGAGTGACATGGCTGCCCGCTGAGTCCAGCCATACCGAAGGTTTGGTTATGTATACATTACATTAGGACTCTGGTAAAGGACTCTGTAAAGCAGCCTGACCGGAAGGCCAGGACACCCCTGTGGCAGGAGTAGGCTGACAGACTGTGTGTGTGAGTGCGTGGGTGCACATCTGACCACAAGGGGATGTATTGGGGTGGCAACTTTGCTACAAGCATAATAATATGGTGTCAGAGGCAATATTTCCACTCAAATATTAACAGTTCAATAAAAGTTCCACCAGTCAGACAGAATTCTCATCACATTAATTTTTTCTCTTTGAAATAATTAATCTTAATCACCAAACAGATTTGAGCTCAATCTGACTAAAATGTGAACATATGAAGGAATTTTTGTGGTTCTTAATTGTTACAGCAATGTCTCCCAAGCACCCTAGGACATTAAATTGGGCTGAAATCCTCAGTGATGTAAATTACTTACCAGATGTACCATGTAGCAAAGAGTTGCTTTCTTCTAACATTGAAGAAGGAACTTCATTAAAATAAGGAAAACAATATTACCCCTAAAGCTACTCTGCATTTCTCTCTGCTTCACAGCAGTGCTTCTGCCTACTCCCTTCCTGATACATCCAGTTTCTAACTTGCATACTGCGAGGGTATTTCTTTAAAAATCTAAGTCTCAAAGGAATCTAACTTCAATCAATTTGGAATTCATTAGTAGTACAAAAGGAGCATCATTCCTCTTAGGGCCAGCCTACAAACAGGTTTTTGTACCACTCTGACTGTATTGGTTGAGAAACTCACACATTTACAGGAATAAGCTTTACCAAGACATGCACCTTGATCTTAGTCTTGAGAGTTATTCTGATTTAATCTGTTTAGAAACCTAGTTAGAAATATAGTTAAAACGGTACAACATCTCTGAAGGGTAGATACAGTTACACCAGTATGAAGGAGCATATCTCCATAAAGCTTATCACTGTAAATGTAGTTTTTAAACCAGACCAGTAATTTAAAAACTGTGTAGCCACGCCTTTAATTATACATCAGATAAGAGAGAGTCTCGGTGGAAAAGGGGTGTGGTCATTCAAACTAAGGTGTTCTAGGAGTGTCGAGGGGAAAGACACAGGAGGGAAATTCATTGGTCGTGCAAGCAGTTGAATAGTATCTAACAGGATAAAGTAACTCTTCTCCTCCCAACACACTTCTTAAATTATTTATACCAACCCTATGGGAAACCTCCCTAATACTCCTGACAGAATAAAAAAGGTGCCATATGAGATTCCACTTTTGTGGGGGAGGAGCTGTAGGAAGAACAACCAGCATTTCAACAGGGTGATATAAGTTTTTATAAAACTTATATAATGAATGTTTAATATCATTTATAAGAATCTTATTTTATAAGCTATATGTTCATATGTAACTGAAGGAACGTTAACTTTATAATTTTTAGCATGGATTCTATATTCTGGAAAAACATGATATCTGTATATTTTTACATCAGGTTAATATGTAAATACTGTACTATGGATGTATTGTACAAAATACATGGTTCCATAGACATTTTTTTAATAATAGTCCTTTATATTTTAAGTATTATAAAGGTTTCTATTTTGTAATATTTAAGTATGATTTTAATATCCCCCAAATATTTGTAACATTATTTGATATCTACTAAAATTTTGTTTCATTTTCCCATATGGGACTGTAAGCAAGTGTTATTCCCACTTTGAGTCTCTCTAATATATTTCTTCTTTTTGACTGCTCATGGAGGGACCTTCCAGATGTTCAAGAAAAAGAAGGCACTGAGATGTGCGCTTCGGTACTCAGATCACACTCCCTCTTTCTTAGTGTTCCTGGTGCTCAAGCAAAGGCATGGGGGGCAAATCCCTTTGGAATTTGGGAAGAGATTAGAGTGTAATGACTCCATTTTTGAACACTACACTCTGATTCAGCAGCTCCTTTGGCTTCTGTACTTGGGGTGGTTTGAATTTCCCAGTGGTGTGAGTTTTGGCAAATGTGTACGGTAACTGTTAATAGTGAAGCCTAGGCGATGTTCGGAAGCGGTCTAAATTTAATCTGCAGTGTGACACGAATAAACAAAGGATATTGAGCTCACAAGGTAAAGTCTGCAAGCTGAGTCATCAAGGGTAGACATAGAAGGGCTTATTCTTCATGGCTTATCCCCTTGGGAAATAGCTTGTAGCAGTTTCTGTGCAAATTCGTTGTACAAAAGTGAAATTGGAAAGCTGTGTGATTAACTAATGAAAGATCAGGCTTTCCAGCCTGGTAGGGATGACTATGGTACATCCAGCTCCATACAGTAAGGACTCCTCCTGAATAGGGGGCTGTGCTGAGCTCCACTGGGGAGCAAAGCTCCAGAAGGAGCCTCGCTGCTGTTAACTGAGTACAGCTTCAGCTAGGGCATCTATTCAAAGTGCTTTGCTTGGGACAGTGGTGTGGAGTTCAGCCACTTCCCCTTTCTACCTCTCCCCACCACCAAAATATCCTGCAGAGAAGCTTGTGCGTGGTGCAGCAATGAAGGGAGGGCCATGGGGACAGGATGGGGCAGAAAGGGACATTTTCATCCCACTCACTGAAGTAGAGGAGGCAGTGTGACCCAGCTGTTTTATGTTTGATTACCTATGGTGAAATCAGTGCAGAACAGATCAGAGAGACATGACCCTCTCCCCGCCCCCCACAGAGCTTACATTCAGATGAATCCATTACAGTGTTGCCAACTCTCATGATATTTGGTACTTTTCTTAGAGCTCCAGGTCCTGTACTTGTGTGAGAATCTCAGCTTTCATTTAAAATACAAATAAAAAAAGGAAAAATGTAACCCTCTTCGTTGTAGAGGAAAGCTTACAAATGCTTCAAAAGCCAAAAGGCAATTAAAAAGAACCCAAGAAGTATTTTTAAATCTTATGATTCTGGGGGGGCCTTGAGTCATAATTTCCCAGCCCTTGGTTTTGATAATACTGATGTAGGTACAAGGGTCTGCTTAGGTAGATACAGTGAAAGGATCAGGGCCTATTTTAGATGATCTATTTCTGACTCCTAAACACCCAGCAGAAGTCAGCCTTAATATAGCACACTCTTAAAACAAACAAGCAAGCAAAACCATATGGCTTTCTTTGCTGGAGTATCATCGAAATGTATCATGAAAAAAGTACATTTTGCTGTATGATTTGGAGGAGACAAAATGTTTATTTGCCATGAATACAATGTGATTTTAATAGTAAGATTATTTTTTTTATTCATGCTGCTGTATTTAATTTCTGGTCTCCAATGTTCTTCAGATCCACTCAAGTTGAGTTTGCAAGCACAACAATACAAAAGTTTTTGTTTTTGTTTTAGCAACAGTGAAATGTCATAAGATGGCACAATGAAAGATTTTACGATATTTCTTTAACTGCACACTACGCAGCATAGCTCAGGATAACTACACCAAGCCAAAGGTGGAACAGAAGGCCAGTGTGTTTGTATGCACTACTGTTAAGAAAGACATAGGATTATTGTACTATCCTATTAGGATATGCTTTCTGACATTTAAGACTGAAAGGTACTAGACGAATTGCAACACTGACTGCACATACAAAGTTCTGTAGCCAGAGCACAAGTGTGGAAGGGATGCTTTTCTACAGTAATGCTGCAGATGAAAGCCAGCTCAAAATAAGAATGATTGTTTGCTCCATTCGACCTTAACTCTGTTTGGTAATATATTTTTCATTATTATTATTTTAGTTATATAGTCATACAATGAAATTGCTAACATGGGACCATTCTTAAGACAGCAGTATTTAAATGTCAAGACTCTTTATTGTTCAGGTTTTCTGGGTGATTATTATTATAATTTTAGGGAAATGAGTGTCTGATGTACACATTTAATGTACACACTGCTTTGGATGCACTTCCTTTGCCTTCATCTTCCTGCCCTATGTTACTATTGGTCAGGTGCCTCCATGCTGTACTTCATTTTTTGTTTTTTTCTTCCAGTCCGTTAAAAAAGGGGTGATGTCTCACTCATGCACCATGAAGATAGACAATCACACCTTGGAATTGTGCAATTCACCCAGGACCTTGTCCCAACAATAGACGGGCAAAGCTATTCTGAAGATAATGAAGGAAGAGACAATAGACTGTCAAGGAAGAGCTGCACTGGCAATGATGAAAGCAAGGAAGGTGGTGGAACTACCATGAATGAGACAAGAACTAGGATACTTTGGAATGAAAGGAATCAGTGGATTTATTCATTGGAGGTACGTGGAACCTTGCAGGATTGGGACATTAGCTATGACTTGACTTCCTTCAAAGGAATAAGGGGCCCACCATAGCTCACAGTTGCCTGTTATTAGGGTATTTCCTTATTCTGAAAGGAAATAATGAACAGTGTAAAATCTTTACTACTTCTCCTATTGAAATCAATGGGGTTTTGCTCTGGATTTCAGTGGGACCCGGCTCAGGCCTTTCACTTGTAATTAATTCTCTGTCTTTATTGATATTTATTGCTAAAAACGCTCTAACATGTCATATGTAGAATTGTGTTGTATTTAGGGTGACCAGATGTCCCAATATTATTAGGACCATCCTGATATTAGGGGTTTGTCTTGTATACAAAACTATAGTCCCCCTCCCCTCCTGAAAAAAAAGTGTCCCAATTTTTCAGAACTGCTGTATTGTATCGATTATTTTAAGACCCTGAGCTAAATTCATCCCCGATTAATGCCAAATAATATGTCATCTAAATAGTTGTAACACTACTTCCTATGTGAACAAGTGGTTGGATTGAAAACATTACAACAAATTGGGATATAATACAATTTTCATGTGTCTCCTTAATACTGTTAATATCACAGACTTAAATGAAGCAGGGTTTCATGCCTACCATCGAGATGACATTCATTAATTCCAGGGTCCTTGTCATTCCGAATCAGGTTCAGCACTGAAACCCCAGAGCTCAGGAAAAGCAAGGTGACTGTCTTGTTAGAAAAATCGCTTGGGGCATGAGGGTGATTATCAGCCTTTGAAGGGCAGCCTAGTTCCTTAGAGAATCTAGAAGAGTATCATACTTAGGGCCTTACCAGACTTCTCGAGGTATTAGTCACAAATGTGCCTTTGCAAGCTTTGTAGCCAATGTAAACATCTTTCTGATCAGAACTTTCAAATCAAGATATCTTAGTGCATTTCTTGATAGAGAGTGACAGCTTCATGTTATCTGATTATTCTACTGAAGATATTATTTGACAAGCACACAGGGTAGAATCTGCTACCAAGGCAGGTCTTGGAAGCAATCCTGTTAGTAAGTTTTATGAGGCATCTTCAGGCTGCTTAACCTTTTGTAGGATATTTAGGCTGTGGATGGGGGAAAGAGGTATTCACAATGTAAACATTTAGCATCCAATGCACTTATATGGGACTTTACCTTGGGGAAGCAAGGGAAGGTATGGATGCAACTGGCAGGGCCATGACCCATATTATTTTCCATACTGATGTTGTAGAATCTATTAACATTAAGGCTTTAGGTCAAGGGCAGTATTTTCAAAAATTAATGAGAGCAGCTGGGTGTTCAGCACTTTTTGAAAAATAGGCTCTTTAGATGCCTACATATGGATTTAGGAGCCGAGCATTAGATTTGAAAATTTTTGCCAGAAGGCCTGAAAAATTAATATCAGGCATATGACATTGCTTCTTTTTACTCTAAGACGCTTTGCTGTGATTAATAATACAGAATTAGAGAAAGGTGGAATCATATAGGTCTATACTCTTCACTGTCATCGTGTGTGTGTGTGTGGGGGAGCTGGGGAGAGGAAGCTGCAATCAATGAGATTACAAAGTGTGTAAATTAGAGGAGAACTGGCCCACAAATCAGATCTTGCAAACAGTAGTAATGCTTTCCTGAGTTGTCCCAAAATTCATCTCCAGATTGCAATTTTTGCTGTTTTGTATTTGGAGATAAATGGAGAGTCCTTGAAAGAGAAATTTTACCTCCATATAATTTTGAGAAATATAAACTTCAATAAATTAGACTATTTCTAAAGATGAAAGCTAGTTGACAACATGTTTTCCTGTCCAGTCATTTAAACATTTCCAAGCTAGCTACCACATTTCTGGGACTTTTTTCCAAGATCAAGCTTCAGTTCAACTTTCTTCTTGCCTTCTTCAGTAAGAGCCTCTGTTGCCTTATTGCCTGTAAAATCCACGGTATGGGAGTTCTTTTAGCTGCTATAATTTTGATTATGTACCAACAAGACTCTTCTACAGTATGTTCGTATCAGAGAAATATTTCTCTCCTGCCAATGAAAATTTGAAGAGCTAAGTCTAATTCTTCAAGTTAGTGTAATGTTCAATGATCCAATGCAGTTCAAAGCAAACTATAAATGAATTCCAGAAGCGAGAGATTGTTTTCAGAGCATTATATTTCCTTAATGTATATATAACCTTACATCCATCTTTGAGTTCTAAGAAAAGTGTTTTTTGTTTTGTTTTTTTGGTGGTGGTGATCTTCCTTGCCATTAAACACATAGCTGCATGTACAATACTTGGTGTAAAATCATGGAAACATACTGCTTAATAAATACTGTGTGTAGTGATGATTTTCGTTTATCTCTTTCAAACAACAGTGAAGAGAGAAAACTGCAATGTGCTAAAGAGTTTTCCATTTCATAGGCTTGCTTGCTATAATACTTAAGGAGATTACTCCTGTAACCAGAGTGCTACATCAGTTGTTCACATATAATCATGCCTAGGAGATTTATCTGACTGAATTTCTTTATCAAATTGTGTGTGTCTCTGCCTTTATGCTGACCTTCCACAAGAGCTAATCTGTATCAAGTTAAGACAGGGTCCCGCAGGGTCAAAAAGAATCTCCAGTGTTTTAGGTTGTTTTTGAAAACTACATGAAAGATACATTAAGGACAACATTCTACAATAGACTTGCAAGGACCTAAGCAAATGTTATGTCCTTAAGGTGACTTTTTTGGGGGTGGGAGGAATGGGTAGAGAGAGGATGTTCTTCCAAAAGAGTATTGAAACTGACACTTTAGTCAAAACTGAGTTTAAAACAGAGGAACAGAAGCTGCATAAGCAATGAATTATCCCTTTAACATATTTGAATAGCTTACTAGAGAAGATCTTATGCATCCGATGAAGTGGGCTGTAGCCCACGAAAGTTTATGCTCTAATAAATGTGTTAGTCTCTAACGTGCCACAAGTCCCCCTTTTCTTTTTGCAGATACAGACTAACACGACTGTTATGACTGTTCACAGAAAAAAATAGAGTAATTGGCGTGAGTAACCACTTGGTGTCATCCAGGAGCTGCAAAATTAAGCTAAAAGGCATTTATAAAACCTTGTCTCTTAAAGAAAGTGATTTAGACATAACAAGTCCAGAGAGTTTGACACATTTTTATTCTTCAGGGTTTTTTCTTCAGTTCTCTACAAAACTTTGCTAAGTTTTTTTTTTCCTAGGGTCATGCATCATCTGTTTAAAGAAATTTTCTGACAGAATACTTAAGCTGATTTCTCTTTCTCCTTGACTGAAACAGAGAGCTGCAAATTTGACAAGAAATTGAACCATATTCATCCTTGGTGTGACTGCATTCATTTCAATGGAGTTACATAGAGATTAATTTGACTCAAAGTCTTTCTCAATATTGTACATGAAAACACATGGGAAGTTTTTTAAAATGTTTGACCATTGGTTTTACTTGTAAGATCATTTATCTGAGTTATGTTGACTTTGCAGTTTGTTTTTTTCTTTCAATATCAAAACTTTACACAGACCCTTAAATGGGAATTTAACTCTATTTTTCTGCAGTTCTTAAGAAAGCAGAAAAAAATTCCCTCTGGACCAGAGATTTGTGTCAGCAAAAGTTTCAGTTTTGCTGACAGATACTGACTAGCAGAAAATATGCCCTCACCTCTACTGCTGAGCATGGTTCACTCATTGTGAATCAGTCTGAAAAGGGATTGAAATCTTCTCTAATCCTGAAAGAAAAAAGGGAACTTTTTAGGCTAATCCTGATTCTGGAACACTGAACAACTATGAATACCGGAGCAAAAATGACTTTAACCCAGCTCTAGAGCAGGATAATTTTGTTGTCCATTGTCACTGGTTGTTAATGAAATAAAGGTCATCAAAGCATACCTGTGGGCATTTCCTGAGGCCTTTATAAAAGGATGAGTTCCATGTTGCTACCTACCGTGCCCTTTTAGAAAGGAGACACACCTTTTTTTTGTACCAGTATGTCCCAGGTGGGGCTGTTCCTGTGGAGCCAAGTGTGGTGCTGCCTTAGTCCCCAAGTCATGGCTGCCTCCTTGTGGCAGGGTGGCTAACAAAACTCAGAGTTTGTGTGTTTAAAGGCACATGCATCCTGACAAACCTCAAAGGCATCTGCACAGTTGCAACACTTCAGGCAAGGCCCTGACCTGGCCCTGGGGTTCTGGGCTGGCATTGAGCTGCTCCTCCTCTAACCCAGCCTCACCCTGCACTGCCCCTGCAAAGACACAGGCATGCCTGGTAGCTCCTGACTGGTTAGTGTTTCCTCCAGCCTCCGAAAGACTGTCTCTTTGGTAGCGGTAGGAGTGGCTTTTCCTTGAGTAGCAGGGAAGTGTCAGGGTGCCCCAGTAGGGGAAAGAGAAGGCTGACAGACTCTATCACATAGTGCAGAGGTTTTCAAATTGTGGGGCACCCCTGCCCCCCCTCAAGGAATAGTTGAGTGGGCGAGTGACAATGCCAAGCAGCTCAGGCCAGCCCCATGAAACGGGATTCAGGGAGGGACCATCCCCTCCACCCCTGACTCACCTCAGCAAGGGTGAGTGTCCGATTTCTGCTCTTGGCAGCCTCCGTGCCCAGTGCTGGCTCCACCTCCATCGTACACACCTTTCCCCACCTTGAAAACCCAAGAGGGGAGGGGTAGGTATTGGCTCTGCCCTAAGAGTGCAGCCTGCCAGCAAGGCTAAGGGCAGCCAGCTGCTGAGGTAATTTAATTTAATTTGAGGTAATTTAATTAAAGTTGTGTTAAGTCTACGAGTAGGCTGTCAAGCATACTTTTGCATGTGTCTATTTTTGTCTGGGTGTGGGGGTGGGGGAGAGGAAGGGGGTGTAACCAAAAATTTGTAATTCAAAGTGGGAGACTCAGCTCAAAAAGTTTGAAAACCACTGACATAGGGTGATTTCCCCTGCCCAAAATAGTTATACCAGTACAACACCTCATGTGTATCCAGTTATGCTGGTATAAAGCTGCCTTATACTGGTACCGCTAATTTCCCTTCCAGTATGGGAATAGCTATACTGTTCTAAAGCATCTTTGTACAGATATAACTGTACTCACACTTGGGGGATTATAACTGTGCCAGGATAGTTAAAGCAGTCCAATTTATGTCTGTAGACAAGTCCTAAAAAGTGGATGTCAGTGGAGGGCATGAGAATCTCAGCTGAATGAAAGCTGTGTTCACCACTGGCAGTTCTACAAACAGCCTTCTGTTTGTATATGTGTGTCTGATGCTTTTATCAAATCCATCCATGATCCAGCGTAGTGCAGGAGAAAGGCAAGACAAAAGCAATTCTGCACAAAATATACAACTCAGAACTGTGGAATGAAAATGAATCAGGACTAATTCCTTTAGAGGAAAGGGAGCTCTTTAATATTTACTCATTGATACAGCATGGCTTAAGCTCTAGTAAAGGAGTCAAATGTTGTATTTGATCATTGTCTACTTTATTTTGTGAAGGAAATATGATTTCAAGAATTCTGTCTCTTGTGTCAAACTTCACAGGGACTAGACTGATGAAAGTTGAAGGAACCTTCAATGTGGCAGTGACTAAGGCTGTGTATTTTATATGGATGGTGCAAAAATGCTGTCATTTCTCTTCACTCTTTGGCTGAATTCCAGCTATATCTAGTTCAAATATTTCTGACCTGCAAAAACCCCTGGAAACACCGGTTCCTGCTGGAGTGGCTATCGCCTACCACCCTTCCCTACTTCCTGCTGGACCTATTCTTTGTTACTACCTCCTCAGGCTCCTTCCCATTAGATTGGCTTTCCTGGGCTCAGCACATCCGATGAAGTGAGCTGTAGCTCACGAAAGCTTATGCTCAAATAAATTGGTTAGTCTCTAAGGTGCCACAAGTACTCCTTTCCTTTTTGCGAATACAGACTAACACGGCTGTTACTCTGAAACCTGGGCTCTTGGTTTTCCCTCCCTGATCTCTCCCACTGAGCCATCCTCCTGTGGCTACTTTTCTTTGACCCTGGCTCCCCCTCCTGGCAGGCCCACATCGTTACCATGCAATTCACAATATTTTCCCACAGCATGTCCATGAAATTGGAAAGTATTTGCTGTGAAAAATACTTTGCCTCTGTGTCTATAGGTTCCTGCACCTGCAATATATTTACAACAGGCTGCAAGTTTGGGTTGTGTTGTCATCTGAAACTTTCACAGATTCCACCTTGCATAAAACGTATAAAAAAGAAGAGTATGTACAGAGCATATAAATTAACACATTGGGTTTAAATTGAAGGATTTTGCACTTACTTGGTCATTCTCATAAGTATGCTGAGAGACCTATTGTGAAGCACTGTCATTTGTATTTCCATCTTTATGAACAATTTCCCCAAGCGAATATGATCCCAGTGGTTTCTAACAGCTGCACAAGAAAGATAGAGCTGAGACTGAAAGAGTCCAGAGAAGGGTACAGAAAATGGTTAGTGGTGTGGCAGAATATCCATAGGAACACAGAATGATTGAAAAGACTGGGATAATTTAGTGTGAAAGGTGAATCAGAAGGCTTTGATTGAGGTGAGAAGATTATAAAGGGCTTAGTAAGAACTACTTAGTATCTTCCTTTTAACCCTATCTTAAAATAGAAAACGAAGAGTACAAGATGAAATTAAAGCACATGACATTTTAACAAATATAGGGATTCCCCCCATCCCTGAGAGTATAATCATTCTGTGGCATTTACTGCTGCAGAGGTCATTGAGACAAATAAGTCTGTGGTTGGCTTTAAAAATCTCTGCTCTACCCCTTCCTGCCCCCGAATAGCACTGAATAAATTAGTTAGGTGGAATTATAGCATTTTCATCATCTACTGAATAATTCTATATTGGCTGCTAGCTGGGAAGAAAACATTGGCTTAGATAGAACTACAATTTGTCTGATCCAGTGCGGAAACTTTTATGATCTTATGTTTTGTTCTAAAAGAGGCTAATCTCATCTGCTGGAATCAAGGTATCTGCTGGAATTGAAGCTGGTTGTTGAGGTTCATGTCCTGAAGAAGCACCCGTTAACTGTCCCCTTGTTTCTCTGAGGTAGCCTGTAGAACATCTTTGAGTAGGCCAAATATAGTTTAAGAAACAAGGACCACCAATATGAGCAAGGCAAGGTATAAAGTATAAGAAAGAAGTTAAATCAAGGGCAAGATTTTTTAGAAACTGGATTCTCTTTCTGCACCCGCAATTATTTATTGCTTGAATGCCTAAAATGGTGCTGAATGCCTAAAATGGTCCTTGCCCATGCTTGCAGCTCAAAATGTGCTCAGAAGAACTTCAACAGCAGCCATTGTCCAATACGTTTTTTTGTTTTTTTAATCAGGCCCTAAGGAGAGGTAGTTAAAAGATTATCTACAACCTCTTCTGATCTGGATTCTTGGTCAAAAGAGAATAGAGTAGGGCATCCTCACCCATTATGTGTCTTTCTTATAGGCCTGTGGACAACAGAGACACAGGAAACACCTAATGACCATGGACAAGAACCAATTTTCAGTGAAAAAGGTGACAAATGTCCTTTCAGAGTAGATTTTGGGTGCTTTGCAGTGGGTCTGTTTCTTATTAGAGGAGAAAGCTGTGAAACAGACTCTTGGGGTATTTTCTCATAATCTATTTTTATTCAGAAGATGCACACAATTCGTGTTTACTCTGACCAGAAATGGAAACAACAGCAAAACTACATACAAAGAATTCCACTTGCAGAAACTCCAGCTAACATTTCATTGGCTTTGTCTTTGTTGAGAGAGAGAGGTGTGTGTCCTTAATTTAAATTAGCTACTTTGAGGTAACATCCTAGTGAAGACAATGCAGTTTGTAGTTTTCATGAGTTAGCCGGCTGAGTCAAAGCCAATGATCCCCCATAAGCTTGATGTCAACCTACTAATTTGTGTGAAAACTACAAATTGCCTTGTCTTCACGAGGATTTTACCCTGAGTTGTTAACTCATTAGCTAATTTGAGTTAAGAACACAACTTTTTTTTTTTTTAATACAGTGTAGACAAGGCCACTCTAACAAGAAAAGCTGCTCTTAATCTGATCTTTGATTTCTGTCCTACAATCAGCCCGTTGGCTGTTCCGCTACACTCTTGCCTGAGGACATCCCTGTTTCAGAGTCACATGGCTTTTATTATGCTCAATAGGAAGCACAGGCTAGGTCAGATGCACTTGGTCAGATGCACCTCCTTTTCTGTTGCAGAGCAGATGCATAAAGGAACCTCTCAAACGGATTCTGCTATAACCAGTGTCCAGTCAAGGGGGCTATTTCGTTGTGGTGTAGACATTCGGGCTCTGGAAACCTCCCACCTCCCAGGGTAATTTACTACTTATGCTGCCAGAGTGGTATAAAGAAGCTTTAGTGAAAATGAGAATCTGGGCCTTAATGTGGACAGGCTGCGAGCTGCCAATGGCATTTTAAGGACCAAGTTGGTCAGACCTATTCTGAGCAGGATTAGATGACACAGTGCTTAAAACACTGGCAGCTGCTTATCTGTCTAATGTTAGGTTTGGTATGTATCTGAGCACCTCACAATCTTTAATATATTTACCCTCACCACACCCCTGTGAAATGGATCTGGGGTCACAATGGCTCACAAGCTAAATATGAGTCAACAGTGTAACACTGTTGCAAAGAAAGCAAGTGTTCTGGAATGTATTAGCAAGCAAGCCACAAGAATGAATTCTTCTGCTCTACTCTGTTCTGATTAGGCCTCAACTGGAGTATTGTGTCCAGTTCTGGGTGCCACATTTCAGGAAAGATGTGGACAAATTGGAGAAAGTCCAGTGAAGAGCAACAAAAATGATTAAAGTGCTAGAAAACATGACTTTTGAGGAAAGATTGAAAAAATTGGATTTGTTTAGTCTGGAGAAGAGAAGACTATGGGGGGACATGATAACAGTTTTCTGTACATAAAAGGTTGTTTAAAAAAATGTTCTCATTAACCTCTGAGAATAGGATAAAAAACAGAGGGCTTAAATTGCAGCAAGGGTGATTTAGGTTGGACATCAGGAAAAACTTCCCATGAGGGTTGTTAAAAGCACTGGAATAAATTGCCTAGGGAGGTTGCAGAATCTCTGTTACTGCAGATTTTTAAGAGCAGGTTAAACAAACACCTGTCGGGATGGTCTAGATAATACTTAGTCCTGCCTTGAGTGCAGGGGACTGGACCAGAAGACCTCCTGAGGTCCTTTCCAATCCTATGATTCTTGAAATTTTTTTGAGAAATTTTGCTAGTGTAGGAGAGGCTTAAGCTTACCCCTTTTTATGAAGAGTTTCATATCACACAAAAATACAATACATAAAAATATTTATGTAAAAATTTGACAAGATGCATTTCATTACTACCGTTGCCATTACAACAAAGATTATTAAAAAGATTTAACACAGTGTAGACAAGATAATTCATCAAATGAAAAAGGTAAAAAAAAACTGGGCACATTTTAACTTAGTTAATTTAAGCTTTTGGATGAGTTAAAACAGTTAAAATATACACCGAGGTCCTCATTAATACAAATTTGAAATAAAATAAGAATTCCTTAGTTTCTACAAAAGGAGAATGAAGGCAGAAAAATGACAAATTGATATATGAAAAGCAATATATAAGATGTGACAGATAAATTATCTTCTGATATTTTAATGAGTTTCAGTTAAAGAAGTTGGCAATATGATGATTTACTGAGATTTTTAATAAAGTAAATTGAAAACTGAAAGGTGATCTGAATGAGAGAATCCTTATGAAGAGTTTGAACATTTAGAGGAACACTACTACATATAGTGAAACACTAACACACACACACACACACAAATATGCATTTGAAATATATATATATATATATATATGAAAAGCCTACAGAGGTACAATAGCTTCCCTCTGTTCAGCTGAACTTTGATCACAATTCTTAAGACTTCCCCCATTCAGGGGAGACAAAAGAAGTGCTCCTGATACACACTTGTAATTCCAGATATAATTTCAGAGTCTCTTCTTCCAACCCCATGGGTTAAATATTTGACTCAGTAAATGCACACACAAACATTTGCACAAGCATTTTTAAGTACCAGCACTTACAGGCAAAGGTAATAGAATTTACATTCTTTTGGGAATAATGATTGAGAGTGTTTATCAAGAAAGTGCACATGTACTGAATTTAGAATAAGCCTTCCAAGAGATTAGTAATTTGGTGCTTAATGCCAAATTGGTGCCACATTGCAAGCTATTTACATAAGGGCATAACCACTCCTTTGTACAAAATTATGTGGAAATGTTTCCTCGGTGAATGAATAGCAAAATACAATGATCTCCCAGAGTCATTAAAATTTCTTATTAACAAAGTAGCTACCTGTTGTCAACAAAATAATTTATACCAAACGTCACAAATAATAGCCGTAAACATTTGATTTGACCATTCCACACTTCTGGCCCGAGCCAAACACAACTGAAGTCAGTGGGAGCCTTCCTATTGCCTTCTGACGGCTTTGGATCAGGTCTTATACACTTAAATGCCTTCAGAACGCTTGGATGAATATAATTTGGTGACTTGTTGTGTTTAGTTTATCGTTTTGTTGCATCACCTCCTGGATACTTCAGTCTCAGACAGTCCCCCATCTTAATGAACAGAAAAAGAGTAGGTTAGTGATACATACTCCCAACGTTCTCTGTGGTGAAGACTAGCGGTGTTGTCAGCTCTTGTGTTTTAAGTGCAGGTCTCAAGATAATCGCTCTTAAAGTCCAAGTTGCTGGAATTGGTGAATACATGAGCATCTCAGCTTATGTTTTTTGTTTTTAATAAAAATATATAGACCTCATTGTTAGCGAAAAGTGTGAAAATATAATCCGAGTGTACCATAAAGGCTTAAAAACCAGAAAGCAAATAAAAAGACCCAAATGTATTTGTTTTTTAAAATCTCATTATTTTTTAAACCAGTCTTGATGCTTTGGGGAAATTTGTTTACTGTCAGGAGTAGTAGAAGAGCTCTGTGTAAGCTCAAAAGCGTGTCTCTCTCACCAACAGAAGTTGGGTCAATAAAAGATATTACCTCAGCCACAGTGTCTCCCTAATACCCTGGGACCAACCTGGCTACACCAACGCTGCATACACCTTCATATGAATGCAGCTAGATTAATGTTCACATGGACTGCATTAGCAGAAAGGTTGTGTGTGTATGCGTTGATTTAGAGTTAGGTGGTATTTAACATGAAAGGAGGCAAAATAGAATTGTGATCAGTGGGCTAAATCTTGAGGAGGTCCTTTAGTCGGTTTTTTAGTGGAACGCCTACAGTTTAGGGGAAGAGTTTCAGTCCCTCAGGAACCACATGGAGTGTCCTTTCTCTGCACTTGAGAGGTAGAAAATGAGGAAGAACTGGGAGGAGATAGCAGTTGCCTCTACAAAACCATGTCGCCACATGCCCTGAACTCAGTGGAGGACCCTCTACATGTATAAGAAAGTAAAGGAGCTGAGTTCAGCAGTGACAAGGTCAGTGAAACTCCCCCCCATGACCAGCATTAAATCTGCAGACAGTAACAGGATGTCAGTTATTTTTCTATTCTTCTCCGGGGCGGGGGAGGAGAGAGAGAGGAGTCATGCTGTCAGTTTGCCAGGGTCTGAAAGGGGAATGGGCAGGAGTCGTGGAGTTGTGCTCAGAGGCACAAGGTCTCTGCACAGATGGCTCTGTGCCTCTGCCATATTCAATACTGTGTATCCTTGGAGCTGTGTATCATTTTCTTATTCTGCAGTGGGAAGAGACATTCCTGGCCTGTCCTTTCCCAGCTTCATAATCCAGGAGTAAACATCTGTATAGACCCTCAGCATTCCACCCCCCTTCCGCCCACCACACTCCCAGGGCTTTTCCCATTTTTTTCTCATGGGGATTAGGGCAATCTCGCCTGTGTTAGGACCTTAGGCTTTGGCCCACAGTAAACTGTTGGGAATTAGACATGAATCAGGTTTGCATCTTGGCACTAGAGTTTTATTTTATGCTCTGTATTTCAGCACCGGGCATTTCATTCTCTAACCCTCCTATGACAAAGTGACATATTTTCAGCCAAAGCATTTACCGGATGCAAGACATTCTAGGAAGATACTAAGGGAAAGTAATCTGTACCTTTCCATCACAAGGATGCTAAAAGAGCAGTGGATGTTTATAATAATGTACTAACTACTGTGTTAATTCCATTCTTGCCCTAGTTTGATTTTGTTCTACACAATGTAAACAGTACTGGTGTAGGCCCATGCATTTGGGGCAAGACAATCTAAACCTACAGGAAGCTTTACATTTTTGGTATAACTGGATGCAAATGCAGTATTGGGGGCAATAGAGGCAGATTTGGTATGGTCTCACTGGTACAGCAGTGGTTTCATGCATACCTGAAAGAACATTCCTAGCCCATGACAGGAGAATTCTAGGCTCATGTGTGGTGTATCCCCCCAGATTGGTTTTGGCACGAATGCATGTAGCTATAGTCTGTCTTTTCAAGAGGCTTCTCAGAAGGATGGCCTGAACTACCATATATAGGAGATACACTGCTGTGTGTTTTTGTTGTAAGGGGACGTGCAGTGTCTGATCAATTTAATTTACTGACCAGAGATTGGCTAAAATTGAACCCCTGTATAACTGAGATTATGCGGCTTGGTTCAGGCAGGAGATGTGAAGAAAGTGTCATTGCCCTAGGCCTTCTGAATTGTAATGAGGAGCTGCATCTCTGGACCAGCACAGTGTGGTCATTGACCTAGAGCTGAGTTGAGGACATCTGGAGCCAACTATGGTAAGGGCAGTTACTTTATGATGTTAAGAATGCCTCCCAGACTGTGGTATTCCCTGGTGGTAATCATGATCTATATCTTTGTGAATTGGTGGTAGGATTACTGTAATGTGCTATATACTGAGAAACCTTAGTAAGAGATCTGCTGCCTGCAGCTAGTTCAGAATACAGCAGTCTGATTGTTGCAGGGGGAGATTAACAGAGGTTAGTCTGACTGCTCACTGTTTTGCCAAGTTGCTCAGCTGCCTGTTAGCCCAAGTATCAGGGTTAATTTTAATATTTAAAGCTCCAAATGGATTCTATCCCCAGTGTCTTTCTGAGCTTCTGATGACCTGTATTCCATTCCAGCCTCAAAGGTTGGAGGGAAAGACAACTTTTTGACCTGAGTGATGGACTAAATGAAGGTTGTACTTTGCCTGTGGAGCTCTAGGTCTGTGGGAATGCTTTCCTCACAGAGCTGAGAACAATCCTACATTCGGTATTTTTAAGAGGTCTATGCACCAGCATTCAGAAATGTGAGAGCCCCTGTACAGTAATTGTTTTGTTTAATTGTTTCTAGATAGGGTCTGATTGAAATGCGCACCTGTGTGTTGCACACTAATTGTGTGAACCCCGTTGGCGCTCACTAAAACTTCTCTACTGTGTACTGACTTAGACCTGTTTCACAGACAGTTAGTGCATGACCCATTGGGACAAACTAGAATTTACACCCTCTTTGGTATGCACTTATGCAGCATGTAGAAAAGCCCTTAGCTCAGGCAGAACACCCATTACATTCAGTAGGAGTTTTAGGGGCTCCAGAATCAGTCATATGCTCAAATAAATTTGTTAATCTCTAAGGTGCCACAAGTACTCCTCTTCTTTTTGCGAATACAGACTAACACGGATGCTACTCTGAAACCAGTCATTTAGTTTGTACTGTCTATTTCGATCTACCCATCAACAGGATTCATACTGTAAAGATTACAATATTTATTCAGGCATTCTGTATTTTTAACATCAAAAGCATGGGATAGAATTTAATACGTACAGATTATTTGGCTATAAGCTTCTCATACGTAAAGTTCTGCAAACAAGCAAATAAAGGAAGTAAAAAACACTACACTTAAAACGAATTGTGTTAAATTTGGCAAACACGCTGTTGCTGAGTTCATTGCAGTAGCATTTGCAAAAATGATACTAGATTTTCAGTCCTATGATCTTTATATTAAAAGTAAATTATCACCCTTAAGCAACAAAGGAATTGCCACTGAGCATAATTTTGAAACAACAGCTACAATAAGTTACTTTGATAGCTCAGATAACATGTTATCTAAAGTAAAACTAAATAGCTATTTAAAAGAATTCCTCAGTGTGACTGCTAGTGTTGCAAATACTATATTTCTATTTTATAAACTGGTGTCTTATCATCTTTGAAGGCATGTTGGAGAGTGTTAGAATATATTCTATCATTTAGATCCGCTTTAGGCAATTATATATGTAAACATAATGACATTCTTATTCTTTTTTAAATGGATTGATCTCAAGTCTGTGATGAATGAATCTGCTATGTGTTTTCCTGAAATCTTGTTTGAATTAAATTAATCCAATATTAATTTATTTTACATGTGCCAGAAGCATCATCCTATTATTAATAAGTTGAAACAGACAGCAGGAAAAGGAGGTCCCTCCTTAGCATTGCCAGAGTGCATCTCTGTGTGTATCCAGCAATCTGTGTGATATGTTGACAGAATGAGGCCAGGGATGCAAATAAAGGAAACTTTCCCCCCACTCCTAGCAGTAAATATATTTATTTATATATGAAGTTAGAAAACATATAAAATCTCCGCACTGTATTTTCCACTGCATGCATCCGATGAAGTGGGCTGGAGCTCATGAAAGCTTGTGCTCAAATAAGTTAGTCTCTAAGGTGCCACAAGTACTCCTTTTCTTTTTGCGAATACAGACTAACACAGCTGCTACTCTGAAACCAGTTTATTGCTTGTCATTCATTAATTTACTGAATGGTAGTTCTACTGATAAATTAAATTGAGAGAGAAATGGCTTACATATTATTATTAACATTGCAATCATATGTTTAATTCATACATTAAGAGATACTGTATTTGTATTTTAGAAAGTACAGTCATTCTAGCTGGCTTATCAGCCACCAAAGACTAAAAGAACATTTTTTTGCACACACTGATGTATCAGTGATTGAAACATAGCTCTTCATTCCATAAAATATCTGCCAGAGCTATAATAAATATTTGGGGAACATCCACTGAAGATAGAGAAGCTATGCCAATGTCAACAGCTGAAGTTCTGTCGCTATATAATTTGCTAAATATATATATTTTCAATTGAAGATTAATTGGCTTTTCTACTGTTTTAAAAATAGCAACCCAATCACTTTGTTTGATATGACTGTTAGGAAAGGGTATGTTGGTATTGTTTTCAGGTTCGCATGTCTGGTCTCCTGAGACACTAATGCAACATAGCTATAAAGCTGTTTAGTTGTGAAAGCCACCGAAAAGGGAAATGTTTCTGGTTTTACTTCTCTCAGCCCAGGGAGGTGGAATTTGAGGTCAAAATTATTTATTCTATGAATTAGTAAAGTCAGGATTCATTCAAAATTTAAAAACACAGAGAAAAATCTACAAAAAGAAAGGGAAATCAAAGACAGTTTGTGAGTGATGGTGAAGATGGGCTTATGTAAAATAAACACCTTGGGCTTCAGTTTTAAACCTGGGTAATGTATTCCTCCTCCCTATGATCATAATATACAGGTAATCAAGAGAGGGGTTCATAAAAACTAGAACATGTGGGACTGAGACAATACCCAGTTCTTATTTGTTTAAAAAAAAGACGAATGCACGGAGGGCCTTATCACGGTAAGATGCGCCTCCACAGCTGCTGGCCTATTGAAACGAGAAGCTGCAGAAAGCTGATGAGACATTCGGGGCTAGATCCTCAAAGGGGATTTAGGCAGTGCAATTCTGAGCCTGACTTCAGGTGCCCTGCTGCCTAGTGGAATCCAGGATCCTGAGTTAGATGCCCAGGATCCCGCTGCAATGGCTGGGGAGAGTTTGGCACCTGAGAATGGGATTCCCAAATACTAGCAGGCTGAGCAGACAGCCACCTAAACTAGTCAGTAGGAAAGGTTTACAGGTGTTAGCTACAGAACTCTCCCCCTATAATGCATGGGGAGCCTGGGCGGCTAATGCAAGGCCGCAGGGTGCCTAGGGGCGAGGCACTGCAATATCTAAGTGCCTTTGTGAATCTAGTCCTAAGTGATTTAAGCTTGGATTTGCCAGTTTATGATCTGAAAAGGTAGGTAATTGTTATACAGGCCATTGATGGATGGAAGGAAGTATCATGAGTTAAGAGCCTGTAGCAAAGAATTAGTAGGGTGTAAAGCAGTTACAGTTCACCAAAACATCCATCCCACAACACTCACAGCCCAAGGGGAATCACAAATTACATCCTTCTTATGTGTGCAATAATTACTCCAATAGAAGGAAAATGTCCTAGCAGAGAATAAAGTAAAAACTTGCTGCCTCATCCAGCATAATATGTAGGTGCAGTTCCAGACATGAAATGACCGGGTGGTGGGGGGGAGGGGGGACAGGGCAGAGAGATTGGCCAACTCCATGAACCCTGCAACAAAAGGGCTCTCTGCTCATTTGGAACAGGGATGTCAATCCAGGTCTCCCACAGCACAGTTGAGTGCCCTAACCAGCAGACTATTTGGGGTGGCCAATAGTCGTTAGGCTAGAGAGTAACAATGTGTGATGCTATAGCCCTGCCATTAGGGCTCTATAGAATCAGACCCCCGCTTGTGAACTCGGAGTTTGGGAATTGCCACCAGGGCTAGGACTCCAAACAGCTCATCAGCTCTGAGTCCTACTGGTAGAAACATAGGCACCTAGGGCTAGCTCCACAAAGGCACTTAGGATATAGATTCATAGATATTTAGGTCAGAAGGGACCATTATGATCGTCTAGTCTGACCTGCACAATGCAGGCCACAGAATTTCACCCACCACTCCTACAAAAAAAAACCTCACACCTATATCTGTGCTATTGAAGTCCTCAAATCATAGTTTAAAGACTTCACAGAGCAGAGAATCCTCCAGCAAGTGACCAGTGCTCCATGCTACAGAGGAAGGCGAAAAACCTCCAGGGCCTCTTCCAGTCTGCCCTGGAGAAAAATTCCTTCCTGACCCCAAATATGGCAATCAGCTAAACCCTGAGCATATGGGCAAGACTCATCAGCCAGATACTACAGAAAATTCTTTGGCTACACTGTGATTAAACACCTGAGCTTGGCCTGTGTCAGCTGGCTCGGGCTATTTAATTGCAGCATCTAGCTTTGGGCTTGGGCTGGAGCCCAGGCTGTGGGACCGCTTCCCCCTTTCAGTTTTACAGCCCTGTGTCAGCGGATGCAGGCCAGCCATGGGTGATTAACTGCTGTACCCTTACATGACTAAGTCCAACATTTAAGTGCCACTGTCGGTCACAAAACCACAACTCAGCTGCTGCCTAAGTTTCTGCCATTGAATATGCACAAAGCCACTGAAGTCTTAAAACTGCTCCACTACTCGCATCGAAGCTGCTTGGAGACTCGGGTTCAAGTCCCTACTCCACTCAGTCAGTGTGATGATTTAAGTTGATGAAGCACTGCATCCCAGATGAGTGCCCTCCTAACCATGGGATAATAAATGCTCTCATTCTTATTTGTTTTGGTGAGAAAGGGTTGCTCTGGCTTAGGCACTGAACTCAGGGTTCACAGCTGAGAATCAGTATAGGAGATAGGTGCCTCCCACCCATGTGTCAGTCAGGCATCCAAGGGGAGTTAAGCACCCTTAAGAGCTGGGCCCTAAGCACCTGTCGTTCTTCTGCATCTCCTGCAGGCTAGCTTGCAGTGCCTTACTTCACTTGCTGACTTCTGTGAAGCACTTTCTTTGAGACACCTAACCCTCCCTCGTCATTGTATGAGGCACCTGAGAGTCCAGCTTGGGGGCTGTGACTTCCACAGTCCAGAAAGAGACCCAGGTCCCCTTTGTGAATTTAGCCCTAAGATGGCTTTTCAAAACTTTACCTCTAATCCTTTTGTGCCACACTTCACATGCCCTGGAAGCAGAGGGTGGGATTTTCGAAGTCACAGAGGTGCTTTTGAAACCCTCCATCTGTAGAGAATAGATTGATTCAACTTATATGCATTTCAGAGCTTGATTGACAACAATCAAGTTGGGGTTGGTCCTGCTTTGAGCAGGGGGTTGGACTAGATGATCTCCAGAGGTCTATGATCATACATTGCTATGGTTTTCCTAATATGTCTGATACCCCTTCCCCCACTCCCCTCAATGCACCACCTAAGAGTGGAAGGTATCAGCTGGCGGAGAGCTTAGTATTTGCCTCACATTGTTTAATTCAGTCAGTGGCTAACATGAGCTATTAGTTGTCTACTTCCTCCTAGCTCAGGCATTTATTCCTCAGGCGATCAGTGGAATTACACTGATAACACACTTTGGGCTCTTCTGCTTTTACAGGATATTTGGGATGAGGGTTAGAGGAATGGTTTTGGGGAGGTGAATACCCAGCCTCCCACCCTCTTGCTAGGGCTAAAATGGGATCTCCCCTTCTCATCAGCTTTAAACACCTCTTCCAGTGGTTTGTTTTCAATAGATGCCTGGGTCTGTTCGAAGGCATCAGCAAGAGACGCCACAGACTTTACATGTTTGTCCCATAGACTCTGCTTTACATCAGCCTTACATATGCCTAGGAAATGCTCTTGAGCCACAAGCTCAAACATTCGCTCAAAGCTTGTAACACCTTTGCCCCTCACTCACGTTCCCATCAAATCTTTCAATTTGTCACATATTCCCCATTACTCATACCAGTATCCCTATTAAGATTCCTAAATTTAACTCTCTGTGTTTCAGGGGCAATCTGAAACCGTTGTACTTTTGAATTTACAATAGTCTAAAGCATCATAGAATATCAGGGTTGGAAGGGATCTCAGGAGGTCATCTAGTCTAACCCCCTGCTCAAAGCAGGACCAAGCCCCAAATCCCTAAATGGCCCCCTCAAGGATTGAATTTACAACCCTGAGTTTAGCAAGCCAATGCTCAAACCACTGAGCTATCCCTCCCTCCTCCCTCTTCAAAGGGCATTTCATTGAATACACTTAGAGCTTTACCAGTTTATTTTATAATCAGGGTAGGAACTCTCTTGGCATCAGGGTTCTCATACACTGCACACAGCCTTTCAAAGGTAGTCAGATGTTCAGCAATATCATCTGTCTCCTTGTATGCAGGATATAAATGGTCCCAAGTGTGAATTTTTGGCACGATGAGAATTGCTGAGGTTGGTGGGTTCTAGTTCTGCTTCTCTGGCAGGTCCAGTTTGTGTTTTCGCTCTCTTTCTCCCCGCTTCTCCTTTATCTCCAGTTCTTTCACTTGCAATAGTCTCTGGTGTTCTCTCTCCTTTTCTGCAACTTGCAGCCTCAAAAGCTCCAACTTTGCAATCGCCACTGCTTCCAGTCATTTTCCTGCTTTTCTGTTCCTACTGCCCTTTCCCGAAATAAGCAAACAGAAAATAACAAACCAAAAGCCTCCTCCTGACTGTCCTTAGACACCACACTTAAAGCCTCACTTAAAATCTTTACACCAGTGTATGAAGTGCAAATCTTGCTCAGCACAACAAGCTGTGTGTTTCACGCTGCTCTCTGCACCATTGTGATGGGATTCCCCCTGGGGTGCAGCCTGAGACTGAGGGACCGCTGTGCCCCCTTAACTCTCTTCAGCCTGGGCTGTCTCTCACAATCCCTTGCTCGTGACCAGCAGCAAGCCCCTCCAGGCGCTGGGATCACTCAGCACAACTGCATGTGGAGTCCCACACCCAGCTAGATTGCATGAATGCTCCCAGAGCCGCTCATTACGCACACAGGGAAAGACACCAGAGCCAAATCTCCCCAGCTCCCAGCACTGTACCTCAGGAATATACCATCTTGCATAGCTCAAGATGGGCAGTGCAAATTTATTAATTGGCTCACCACTTCAACAATGGAACGTGGACATACACCAGCCTTTGTCAAACCTGAGCAGATTTGCCCCACACTTCATACAAACTTGCTGGTAAAGATAAACAAATTTATTGACTATAAAAGGTAGATTTTAAGTGATTGGTAACTAACTGACTTTTTGCCTAAGAAATAAAATATAAGCGCACAGTCTCAATCCTAATAGATTGGGCAGCAACAAGATTAAGCAGTTTTTCTCACCCCACTGGATATTGCAGTCCTTAAAAAACAGCTTTGTACCTTAAACTTGGAGTCTTGTCTGTTGGAGTCTTGTCTTCGTCTCAGTGTCTTGGTTGCTTGTAGCGTAGGTGGTGGCAGGAGAAGGGCCAAGCATGGGGCCCCTGTGGTCTCTTTCACACCCTCTGTCCCATGTGCTTGGAGAATGCAAGTCCAGGCATGTCTGGGGGCATTGCTGAGTCCCTAAGCAAGGTTGAGCAATTCCCTTGGTGTGGCCTCATACAGGTGAGTCATTGAATTGTAGCTCCCTTGCGGGACAATGGCTGGTGATTTCTGTTCACCAGCACCCACCCGGATGTTGGTTACCTCCTTTGTCATTGTTGCTGTAGAGTCAGTAGCTGGGTGCCGCCCAAGCCCACAGCATATTTTAGTGACAACCATACAACGCAATTCTCATAACTTCGTATGCGTTGATGATACACATATTTAGATAGAACAATGGCTTTCAGCAGATCATAACCTTTCCCCTGATACCTTACAAGGCATACTTTATATGTAAGACCACGATTATACAAAAATGAGGACTATGGGGGTTCCAGGATGGCTCCCCCAAGCTATAGAATGTCACACTAGGAAAGATTCATCAGGAGGGAATGAAAGGTGTTCGCTCATGAGGAAATCACTGGCACATGGTCCTGGAATGACTGAGTTATGTGAATGTAACAGTAAATTACATTCCAAACATTCCAATAGCTGCCCATGCTACAGTACACCCTCAATAGGATATCATTTTAGGGCAGAGCTTTGGATACAATCTTGTTTTGTATTGGAGCAGGGTATTTTCCAAACGGTGCGAGATGATTTTTTTTGCACAGCTATAGCATACCTTTTTTGAATCTTCAATATTTTTTCACTTGTCTTACGAACCAATCAAGGCAAAAATTCACCCCCCGTCACTTTGTAATATTCTCTGTGTGTGTGTGACTAGCCTTGTGTTGCATTAATGCACCTTGTCCTTGTGTGTGTGTATTATTGGGAGTGGACTACATTCACCCTGACTGAATTGGCCCTGTCAACACTGGTTCTCGTCTTGTGAGGTAACTCCCTTCTCTTCATGTGTCAGTACAATAATGCCTGCATCTGTAATTTTCACTCCATGCATCCGATGAAGTGGATTCTAGCCCACAAAAGCTTATGCCCAAATCAATGTGTTCATCTTTAAGGTGCCACCAGACTCCTTGTTGTTTTTGTGGATTCAGACTAACACGGCTACCCCCTGATATATATAGATATATATGAAAGAGGGCATTTTAGTGTTTACAGGACATGGTTTTTCAGAAGGGATAAAAAGAAACACTTCAGTCTGAAGATGTTTTACTTCTCAGCTCACGCAACTCAGATTTTTTGCCTGACACAGACTTAGAGCACGTTGCTCCAGGCTAGTGGTCTAAGGTCACTGTGCTTCCCTCGCACCCTTCCTATTTCATTTCAAGCCGGTGATCTATGCTTCACGAAAAGTTTACAGCAATATATTCCTGTGCAGGACAAAAATACTTGATTACGTAGCTGTATTTCTGAGTAGAGAAAGAAAAATGAGGCAATTTCTATTCTGAAACTACTTTCAATCCATGACTAAAGAGACGGCTTTGGGAACCAACTTCATTGCCATCGCAATTCCTGCCGTTTAATCCCAGCATGTTTCATGTCCTTCTGCTCCATTGTTGCAACATTTGAACTGCCTCTAAGAAAAACTGTTCATTCTCTTCTGCCACAAACACGTCTGCATTTCTGCTAAAGAGCGTGCGGTAAGACTTTTTTTTCCCTTCAGAAAGCTGGTGGGCATTATTTATACTAAGAATAAAAGGACATACAGGATAAAAGTGCAAGTCAAACACATCAAAAGTATAACACAAAAATGTACTAAATGATATTTGCTACACAGCTGTTATTTTACTAGATATTATAAATTTGACATGACATGAGCTTAAAGGAATATGTACAGTATGTTCATAATACAATGTGCTATTTTTATCTGTATGGTATATTAGTGACAGCAATCACAGAAGATTTAAGTAAGGCACTAGCATGAAATTCGTAGTCCTGAATCCAACTCTTTTCTTTCTTTCCATTAATTTTTCAGGAATTGTGATGAGTTGGGTCCCAAGACATTAAACTCGAAGAAATTAACAACGCCCAGCGCAACCACTATAGGCTAGTGCAGACACATTTTTAGCCTCTACTTAAGATTACATTGGCATTTGGTTTATGAAATAGTAACTGAAATTTAATGTCACTTGCAATAAAAGCCCAGCTAACCAAGGGGCAAAGTATTTGGCCAGAAACAAACATTGGTCATTAACTATTGGTAGTGATTGATTTACTAGGCTAGTTACGACTGATTTTAATTCCAATGTGTCTGCATTTTCCCCCCCCTGTTGCAATGCAAACTCTTGGACTCAGGGATCAACTTTACAACTGCAGGAAAAAAATCTAAACTTCATCTTCATAATTTAAAGGTCTAGTTCCCTGCACACTAGTCATATTTTTAAAAATTCTCAGTGTTTGGCTTACAGTTTCTCTTTTGTTATATTTTTAAAGTGTAATTGAGTAAAGGCTGGACTCTCTGTGCCTGCATCTAGATTTTTAGGAAAACATTTCTAACTAAAAGGGTAGTTAACCTCCAAGGGCAGCTGTGGACTCACCATCACTGGAAGATTTTTTAAAAAAACATGTTGGTCAAATATCTGTCAGGGATGGTGGAGGTTTACTTGATCTTGCCACAGTGCAGGTGTAACCCACATACCTCTTGGGTGTGGTGTTCTGACTCATCTAGTGGCACCAAGACCACTGGGAGAGAGAGAGAAAAATGAGTCTGCTCTACAGCCTCAGATAACAGGCAGCTGTCTTTTAGCTCATGCTGTAGAGACTCATGCTCTAAGCACCAGAAGTCCCCAGTTTGAGCCCGCTCGCCGACGACTGGGGTCTGTTGGCGTTACACAGGGGCCTGGACTTGATGCTTTTGCGAGGTCACGTCCAGCCTTATGTTTCATCCATGACCGTAACACATTTTGTAAAATAGTTGAATTATTGTTTTGAAGGCTAGACTACAGGCAGTCCCTGCCCCCACCCAAATCAGTTCATCTTTTAGTCTGTGCCTCTCACAGCAGAAACATGTAAGCCATATGTGGTTTTTCTGAGTTTGTTAACTGGAATAGACAGGCAAAGCAGATACAGTATTTTGAACAAGATACAATGGAGCATCATGATGCTACTCCAACTTTTATGCATCAAGTGGAAAAGATCCTGTGGAGTGGTGATGATGGTCAGGGGAAGGGGGCAATGATGAGTTAAGGCTGCTGTGGGAACCTTCTTAATCTTTGCATTTTTTCTTTGTTTGTGCATGCCCCTGAAATATGTGAATGTTCCTCCCTCCTTCATTTGCAAGGATGGTTCAGCCTAATTGTAACCATTTCCCAGGACCCTGTTTTGGGAGCTGCATGGGTTTGGGATCCACGTTGGGGTGGGAAGCGGAAAGATGGGTAGTATTTTGTGGGGATGGGAGGGTGACATGATATGCGTCCTCTAGGATTTGGGTGTCTGAAGATTCACATGGAAATCCTAGAGATTTCCACAGAGAGCCTTTCTATGCTGGGAATCTTAAGGGAGATGATGGGGGAAGCCCACTTGTGTGGCTCCATCAAAGCCATGCTATCAGTGAGTGGGTTGTACCACAGGAGGACACTATCCAGCCCATAATAATAATGAAAATCAATTGGAAAATTATTACTGTGTGTGAGAGACCAAGTGCGCCTTAGCTGAATAATATTGGGACCTTTCAGTGTTAGGCTGGAAAGTAAAATCTTTCATTTGAGGTGAATGGGGGTACAGATGGGGACAAGGCAAAAAGAATTCACACTGGTGTGGCTGTTGCTGTTTGGTTGACCGTTCTCTGCAAGGCTGCGTTTAAAAAAGGCAACAGCACAGCTGTCTATATTTTGACAGCTGCATCTTGCCAACTGAAAAAGGAGGGAAACTATATTTAAAGTGAAAACTTAAAATGTACAGGATGTTGCAGAATGCTATAGAGCTTCTGAAATCCTCAGTCTTTGCAATACAGTATTTTTGTTTCTGATGTTAGTGGCAGGGCTTAAAACAATCTCCACACAATCTTCCAAACCAATCTCCCTTGTGAAAATGGTCTCTGAAGCAGTTCCTCTGGCTGGCAGGCCATGTCAGAAGAATGAGCATTTGGATGACCCAAAAGTTGGGGGGGGAGGGAGAGGGGGAGAAGAGGGGGAAACAGGAGTGATATTTGTCCCTCCTGACCTTCAAAAATTCCTTGGATAATAGTTTCTCCACCTTGATGGTGCATATACTCCTCAATGAGTATTATTTAATTAGCAGGTTTCAACATTCAACCATTTTTGAATTGTGTATATTAAAAAAATTATATTACCTTATCAGGGAAAATTATTATGTTTAGTTTCATGTAGCTAAAAGACGGCTGCATGAATTTTCTATTATACATATGGGGGAAAAGTCACCTGTCAACTGAGACCATGTATGGAAAATTTCAGCCCTGCAGGAGACTGTTTCAGAGACTGAAATGGGGTCTGTAATTGAACTTATGGTTGCAATCTTCGCTTCAGTATTCACTGGGCAGAAAAGGCTGTAATGCAAAGGTTAAACTGGATCTTTTAAAATGGATTCCCAAATCCAAACTTCAGAGGGGTTTAGGTAAATGAAAAAAGTTGATCAACAAAGTTCAACTATGCATAATATATTTCTCCTGCTATTAGTAAATTGTAAGGAGTTCATTGAATTAATTCCCTTAGCTGTTTTTCCCAGAACTGCTGAACAGAAATGGATGAAGACTTTGCTCACAAATCAGGTAGATTTATGCATCACTAATCCATATAGATCAGCACTCCTTGAAATGTAAATTTCAGAAACAGACACTAACATTTTCACAGATGCACACAGGTTTCTGCCAACTGATGTTCCTACATACTAGTCACGTACAGATTATCTGTAAACCTCAGAGAGAAAAAAAATGAACCTCCCTCCCCCCAAACCTGTATTGATGCCTGCAGGCAAATATATAGAAAGATATTTGCTTTCTTTCAGAAGCCTAAAGGAATTTGATGCAGACTTGTGAAATCGTCTGTTATTGGCAACTACTATAAAAAAGCCTTTGTCTTCAACTTACATCTTTCACCAAGGAAAACCATTACACTTGCTTGATACAATTAAATAGCACTAACCTCAGTCAAAACCTTGCCAAAACAAAGTGTGAAAAATGGTACAACTAAAGTGTTAGAATGCATAAGTAATGGAAAATAATACTGGGGAAAAATGAATGCTATAAGTTAATGGTATGTCCTCTTCTGGAATATGGTTTTCACTTCTGGTTTGACTTCAGTGGGACACGCTAAGCAGACCCTTATTCCAGTGAGGCCTTTCATTAGAAAAAGATACAACTCTGACTTTGGTAAAAAAAAAGTTGGACCATAATTATTTATTCCTCTGTAAGTACATTTCAGATGTACTTACCCACTTTTACAAATCAGAGATTTACTAAATAATGATTGATACTCCAGAAAACTAAAATAATTGAAAAAGTTCATTGAATGATGAATGAGTGATTGGCTCTTAATACAGAAATTATATATATATATATATATATATATATATATATATATATACACACACACACAAATAGCAAAAGTAGGTAATTTAAATATTAGTCTGAAAATACAAGCTGCTCTGCACAATTTTTAACCTTCTGCTTTTATATTGGAGAGGTTTTGACAAAGAATATATTTCCCTTTAACTTTGTCTGGGGAGGATTCTATTTAACCTCAAGAGGAGTTGTTATGGATGTAAAGAAAACACTAACCAACTGTAGAAAGATTGAATAACTTCAGTTCCCATGTACTTCAGTTGGATTTCAAAGTACACACAATCTTAGTGCAAAAAGCACTAGATTCCTTGATGTTAGGGCCAGAAGTGACTATAAGATCATCTACTCTGACCTACTGTATAACAGACCATAGAATTTCATCATAACTAAAAAGAAAAGGAGTACTTGTGGCACCTTAGAGACTACCAAATGTATCTGAGCATAAGCTTTCGTGAGCTACAGCTCATTTCATCGATGAAGTGAGCTGTAGCTCATGAAAGCATATGCTCAAATAACCGATGAAGTGAGCTGTAGCTCACGAAAGCTTATGCTCAAATACATTTGTTAGTCTCTAAGGTGCCACAAGTACTCCTTTTCTTTTTGCGAATACAGACTAACACGGCTGCTATTCTGAGACCTATCATAACTAAACTATGTCTTCCAGAAAGGCATCCGCTGTTATTGAGTCAACGTGTCTCATAGAGTGGAGGTTTGTGATTGCTAGGGAACAGGCTGCAGTGTGGTACAAACTAACAGTACTAGGAACAACTAAGGGATAACATTTCAAATTAATACTGGATGAGTAGCAAAACTCCCATTCACACCAAAGTGACCTGTGTGTAGGGGTGAAAGTAACTTGATGGATGGATTTACTGGTATGCAGGGCGGCCGCGATCCTGGGCAAGGCGTGTGTGTGGGGAGGGGAGGGCGTGGCTCTGGGCCCCCAGAAGAGGTGGGGCCTTGGGCGGAAGTGGGGGAACTGTCAGCAATAGCAACGGCCAGGAACCCCTTTAAATTGCTGCCAGAGCCTCAGGGTAGCGGTGGCCGGGACCCCCAGGGCTCCGGTGACGATTTAAAGGGCCAGGGGCTCCAGCTGCTGCCGGGAGCCCTGGGCCCTTTTAAATTGCTGGGCCCTGGGGAAGGTGCCCCTTTTGCACCCTCCTCCTCTTCTCCTCCCCCCCATCAGCGACCCTGCTGGTACAGTTGGCTGTGTACCGGCTTTCTTACCGATATGCCATACCGTACCGGCTTACTTTCACCTCTGCCTGTGTGGCTGAATCACCACCTATCGTTGTGAAACTGGAGTTCCTGAGTAGCAACATTCCAGCTGATCATGAAGACTATATTTTCTTCTTCTCTCCTGCCTGTCTGGAGTCAAGCCTGTTGATGAATATAGAAAGTATTTTAAAAATCCCATGCTAGGATCTTATTTGTACACTGGTGGATGATTCTTAAGAGAGACTTTTCATACTATGATCATTAAGACCAAATGCAACTGCTAGTACATTTCTCAGACTAACTGTAACTGGCAAAAATAACTCCTGCCAGAATGATTAAAGTAAGTTTTCTTTTTCAGTATTGATACACATGAGAAGGGTTAGAACCTAAAAAAGACCAGCATGATGCTGTTAAAATTATAATGAACAAACAATTCCTAATGCATGAATATGGATTGACATGATTTTATAGAAAATCTGAGTAAATCATACTTGATATCTTGAATATAACTTGTGACTGATATACAATATTATATACATGTTACATGAAATTACTTTCAACTCTGAGTACATCTAATGATCTGCAAATAGAAATTACAAAAAAATGTTATTCCATGCTTTGGAGAGCAGGCAATTAATATTTTTTCAGTAAACAATGTGTCAAATTAGATACATAAACTAAATCTAAGAGAGCAGTAGAACAATTAGTCACAGAAATACAAACAATAAGTCAGTATTGATGAAAAATTGTTTTCCAGTCAAGAGGAAAGTGACAATTTATGTAATTAAATAAACATTTGTACAATTGCTGACATCTAATGACAGTTTACAGATTTACTTTTTATTAAGCATATCAATATTGCTATGTAAACCAAGAGTGTTTTGGATGCTTGTCTATTTGCATCCTGAACCCCAAAATTTTAAGTTTCTCCAAATAGTTAATTTTCTCCACCAGTTTGAAGATTTTGCGCGCAATTAATAAGTGTTAATACTAACATTCTATATAGAAGGAGCTTCAACACAGAGCAAGCTGGTAGGTATTCAAAACCATAGTTGGACTGGAGCCCCTTTATTATATGTTAGTTATTTAAGTAGGAAGTACTTTATAATAATAGCTAATTTCACAGATTTTAAATTGTTTAAAGGAAGCACTTTTGGAGTCCCCTGTATTAACATATGTCATTATTCTACTGTATGAAAGTTCTAGAAATCAATGCCATTATCATGGTGCATGATATAAAAAATACTACCAACAAAAATTACAGAACAGTTCGAATGATACCATTTCAACTATCTACATTTTGTATACTGCTTAAAGCAGTCTCATTTTTCCAAAGAGACTCAACTCTGATCTCAGTCATACAGGTGTAAATCTGAAGTTACTCCACTGAAATTAATGAATTTGCAGCAGTGAAACTGAGATAAAATTCTGGCTCACAGTAGTTATACATAAATATATCAAACTTATTTCTCCCATGTTTAAAGGGTGCTGCTAATGGACAACAATCCCCAATGAAGGCTATGTTTTCAATATAACCACTTCTGACGTTTTCAGTCTGAGCAACCCCAGAGAGTTTACAAAGGTAACTTTGAAAATAGTTTATTTCAGGACATTTTAAGAAACATTTATTCCAAATGTATTAATGCCAGTCAAACGAATGATTAACCATTCTGTAAAATTTTGCATTGTGCTCTCTGAAGTAAGAGTAAAGTTGCTCTAAAACAGTGTTGTTGACAACAGGGTGGGGGCGCCCTTTGGATTCATGTAAACATCTCTCTCTTCCATCACTTCTAATGCAATAGAACCCCTTGGTTTGGTTAAAATAAAAATTTGAAGACATAATTCTGGAAGGAAGATTAAGAAATGTTTCTACTTTTTGTAACTCAGGAAGAGGGTCCTTGATTAAAGTATTGCCATCCACTATGTGAATCTGATCTAAGTTGAAATGCTTAAGCCACTTTTCCATATGGATATCATAGAGACTTCTCTGAATAGCTTTATATTTGGTATTAAGTGCTCCATTTTTAATAACAATTTCTTCAAAGGGCTGAACACGCTTGTGGCTTTCTAGTCTGTTGTAATATACTTGGGTATAATCAGATATTACTCTCTCAGTGGGGTCTCTTAGAATGAGAAGCAATTTAATCGAGCTATTCATGTCATGAATTCTTTCTGGAGCCTGTGGTGAGGTAAAATAGCCTGGTGTTTTCTCAATAGTAATTTGATTTTCATAAGAAAATGGCATCAGACTCCTATACCAGTCTATTCCTTTAACATAATTCTCATCCCAGTCAAAGAAGTGGACTTCTGTAGTTGCTACCACAATATTAGGATGAATATCCAACATTTCCAATAAGGCCCTGGTCCCTCCTTTTCGAACTCCTACAATGATCGTCTGAGGTATTCGTCGGTTTGTGCCAGGAGGTCTCACCTGTGCAGAGTAGTGTTCACTTTTATTATTGAAAAATCCTACTTGCGACTTCAGTGTCTCCAGCAGTGCCCCATTCTCAACAGGAGCACCCTGAGTGTGAGTCAGCAAAAGATAAGCTGACACCAGGAGGAAGGCCATGTGGAGAATAATTAGTTCAAAATGCCGTTAAGCTTGGCTGGTGAAATAATAGGCGATTCCCCTCTCGAGGAGCTGGTTGACAGAACTGGGGGCGAGCGAACAACTTTCTGAAGCATCTGCAAAATAAAATAAGACTAATAATTATCTCTGTGTATATGCATGAATGCATCATAGATGAAGTCTGACTTCTTCTCTGTAATTAGTACCATGCAAAAAAGTTATCTAAAGCAGTTTACTTCCTCTCCCCCCACACCCCCGCCACTCTGTGTCAGGAGAGTAAAATGGTGAATTGACATTTTCTTGCTCAGTGCTGTAATTAATGGTGGATACTACATCAGTGAGAACATTTGCCTACTCAAAACGCTGGACTAGGCTACGAAGAAAGAAGAGGAGGCTCTACCTGGTTCTATTTTCCTTGTTATCATTTCCTTCCTTTTACTTCTTGCTATTTAGGACACGCCATTAATAGGGCTGTCAAGCAATTAAATAAATTAATTGCGATTAATCCCATGATTAAAAAAATGAAGCATGTCCTCTGGAAGGTGGCTGAAGCATGAAGGGGCATACAAATGTATAGCATATCTGGCACGTAAATATCTTGCATTGCTGGCTACAAAACTGCCAAGCAAACATCTGTTCTCACTTTCAGGTGACATTGTAAATAAGAAGCAGGCAGCATTATCTCCTGTAAATGTAAACAAACTTGTTTCTCTTAGTGATTGGCTGAACAAGAAGTTGGACTGAGTGGACTTGTAGGCTCTAAAGTTTTACATTATATTTTTTACATAACTGCACTCAAAAACAAAACAATCTACATTTGTAAGTTGTGCTTTCATGATAAAGAGCTTACACTATAGTACTTATAGGAGGTGAATTGAAAAATACTATTTCTTTTGTTTATCATTTTTACAGTGCAAATATTTGTAATAAAAATAATATAAAGTGAGTACTATACACTTTGTATTCTATGTTGTAAATGAAATCAATATATTTGAAAATGTAAAAAAACCCCAAAATATTTAATAATTTTCAATTGGTATTCTATTGTTTAATAGTGCAATTAAAACTGCGATTAATAGCCATTAACTTTTTGGGGGTAACTGCAATTAATCGACAGCCCTAGCCATTAATAATGATTCCATGACATTTTGGAGTATCAATTCATCTCCCCAAATTCACTGCTAGAATCTAACTAGCAAGTGTCATTTAGTTGATGCTTTAATTCTGTCTCCAATGGGCTATGGGTTGAGAGCCTTGACTTGTAGCACAGAAAGGATGTGTCTAGCAAGAGCAGAGTGAAATAAGGCAAAATCCTTGGGATCCAATCAGTAAGGAGACAGACAGACACAACAATGCATCAGAGCAAGAGAAATGGAGTCTGCATCAACTGAATGTGGAGTGAGAGGATAAACTAGTCTGGGTGGATTAGTTGCAGAAGCTCAAAGACCTGTGGTGTGTGCATGCACACACGTGTAGCTGGGGTTATTGCTGCAAGGTCAGAGCTTTAGAATTAGAGCACAGAACATTAGTCTCTCCAAGGAGAGGCTAAAGGTTGTCTCCAAGAGATACCTAGAATACAATTCAGGGGATTCTAAAAGTTTTTGTCTGGGAGGTGGGAGCAGGGGGCAAGTTTGGATG